AGGCCCATACTGGAGTATGCAGCACCAGTATGGAACCCACACCTGGTCAAGCACATCAGAAAGTTAGAGAAAGTACAAAGGTTTGCAACAAGGCTAGTCCCAGAGCTCAGGGGAATGTCATATGAGGAAAGGTTGAGGGAAATCAGACTGACGACACTGGAGGACAGAAGGGTCAGAGGAGACATGAGAACGACATACAAGATACTGCGGGGAATAGACAAGGTGGACAGAGATAGGATGTTCCAGAGAGGGGACACAGAAACAAGGGGTCACAACTGGAAGCTGAAGACTCAGACGAGTCACAGGGACATGAGGAAGTATTTCTTCAGTCATAGAGTCGTCAGGAAGTGGAATAGCCTAGCAAGTGAAGTAGTGGAGGCAGGAACCATACATAGTTTTAAGAAGAGGTATGACAAAGCTCAGGAAGCAGAGAGGGAGAGGACCTAGTAGCAATCAGTGAAGAGGCAGGGCCAGGAGCTGAGTCTCGACCCCTGCAACCACAATTAGGTGCGTACTTACCTTAAAATACAGTGCCTGTTGCCCTTCCCTTGTGCAATTGTTATGCAAAAATGGTGGAAAAAGCAATAAAAGCACTGAACATTATGAACAATGGCTCAGTTGAAAGCCAAGAAAAAATGGAACACCAAAAAAGAGGGTGCTGAATTAGTGGCACCCTTCTGTATGTGTATTCCAACTCAAGCATGAGTAAAAATGCTATTAATGGCAGGCTGGAGTTTTTTGATCTGGTCTTACCAGGTCATTGTCAACTTTTGGGAGAAAATCAGTCCCTTAAATCCCCTGAACACTGTTCGTCTTTCAGCTTGATGCCAGCATCTCCCACAGTGCAACAGTGGTTTGTTAATCACTTCTGCAAAACCCAGTAAAATGTTTCCCAAACTACTTTACTAATGCCCACTCAAAACTATATTCCTGACTTTTGCCACTCACCTCACTAGTGTCACTTTTAGTAAGTAAGTAAGTTTATTCAGGTGTACACAAATACAGTTACATAGATTATCATACATAGCAGCATATGTGTAGAGAACCTAGGATAGCCCAAAAAAGTCAGACAGAGTGACTTATTTCCATTGGGGTCCTGTCTTCTGTCTGGACCCTGATACCTTTGCAATACTTTTCCATGAGAGATTGATCTGGAAACTACAAAAATGGGAGGAATAGAGGGCAAATAATGACAGTGGATGAGAGAACTTCTGTTTGAAAGGTAATTGCAAACAGTGATATGTTCTCATGGGGCAATTTCACTAGTGGAAAACCACAGGGATAAATGCTTTTTCTGATGATGTTTCTAATTTACACAAACAATTTGCCAGGAGTAATAAAAGACTATATGAACTTGTTTCCTGATGTGTAGTAATTGGAGATCAATAATTATCTATCATTCACTTCAGTATAACTATATATTAGGAGCCATTCCACCACAAACCCTTTATTACATCTTGAAACTAATAAATGTTATCATTAATGGCCTGTAAAAATAGTCAATATGCATTCCAGAATATAACAAACACTTGAAATACTGGTAGCAGCATCGTATCAGAACATTCCTCTAATGGCTGTCTTTGGAAAGTCATGTTTCTTATGTTTTGTGTGATGTAGTTGTTGTCAGAGGACACTTAAAACCACCAAGGATTTTACAAGATCATGTGGGGTTTAGGTTCAACCCTATACATTTAATAAATTAGTGGAAAATGGAATGAACATGAAACAATAATTTTTTTTAACACGTTGGCCATTTCCCACTGAGGCAGCGTGACCCAAAGAGAAAGAAAAACCCAAAAAGAAAGAAAAAACTTTCATCATCGTTTAACACTTTCACCATCACTCATACATAATCATTGTCTTTGCAGAGGTACTCAGATACAACAGTTTAGATGTCCTTCCAAACTACCAATATCCCAAACCCCTCCATTGCACTTCCCATTTCCAGGACTCAAGTCTGGCTAACCGGTTTCCCTGAATCCCTTCACAAAATATTACCCTGCTCACACTCCAACAGCTCATCACATCCCAAAAACCAATTGTCTCCATTCACTCCTATCTAACACGTTCATGTATGCTTGCTGGAAGTCCAAGCATCTTGCCCACAAAACATCCTTTACCCCTTCCCTCCAACCTTTTTTGGGGACAACCCCTACCCTGCCTTCCTTCCCCTACAGATTTATACACTTTCCATGTCATTCTACTTTGTTCTGTTCTCTCTAAATGACCAAACCACCCCAACAGCCCCTCTTCAGCTCTCTGACTAATACTTTTAGTAACTCCACACCTTCCCCTAATTTCCACATTATGAATTCTCTGCATAATATTTACACCATACATTGCCCTTAGACAGGATAGCTCCACTGTCTCCAGCCAACTCCTCGCTGCAGCATTTACAGCCCATGCTTCACACCCATATAAGAGTTCAACTCCCATTTTGTGTTTGATTCCCCTAATTTAATCTCACCCCTCTCCCCAACACCCTAGCATTTACTTCTTTTAATGTACCTTATGTATATTTATGTATATTAATTCCTCTGACAAGGAACGCAATACATAAATGTATATTGGTAGTTAAGCTTTAAATATTTTAAACAAAAACACCAATGAAGTTATCTCCCAAGCACGAGTGCACTTGTGAAAATACAGTAGATAAACTGAATGGACAAACATCTATTGAAGATAAGCATAATGAAACCACAGCTGGGTAGCCCCATACACACATAATTCATACCTACTTCCTGAAAATAGTACACAGGTTCAAAACTCAGAACTGCCAAAATTAACTCTACAGTTTTTTCCTTTTTTTTTTCAACAAGTCGGCCATCTCCCACCAAGGCAGGGTGACCCAAAAAGAAAGAAAATACCCAAAAAGAAAATACTTTCATCAGCATTAACACTTTCACCTTACTCATATATAATAACTGTCTTTGCAGAGGCGTTCAGATACGACACTTTAGAAGTCCTCCAAACTGTCAATATCCCAGACCCCCCCTTTAAAGTGCAGGCACTGTACTTCCCATTTCCAGGACTCAACTCTGGCTAAATCTAATAACCAGTTTCCCTGAATCCCTTCACTAAATATTACCCTGCTGACACTCCAACAGCTCATCAAGTCCCAAAAAATCATTCATCTCCATTTACTCCTATCTAACACACTCACACATGCTTACTGGAAGTCCAAGCCCCCCTCTCACAAAACCTCCTTTACCCATAAATAAATACTCATAAATTGTGTACCTCCTTTACCCCTTCCCCCCAGCCTTTTTGAGGACGACCCCTACCCCTCCTTCCTTCCCCTACAGATTTATACGCTCTCCAAATCATTCTACTTTGATCCATTCTCTCTAAATGACCAAACCACCTCAACAACCCCTCTTCAGGCCTCTGCTAATAGTTTTAGTAACTCCACACCTCCTCCAAATTTCCACACTCTGAATTCTCTGCATAATATTTACACCACACATTGCCCTTAGACAGGATATCTCCACTGCCTCCAGCCACCTCCTCACTGCAGCATTTACAACCCAAGCTTCACACCCATATAAGAGTGTTGGTATCACTATACTTTCATACATTCCCTTCTTTGCCTCCATAGATAATGTTTTTTGTCTCCACATATACCTCAATGTGCCACTCACCTATTTTCCTTCATCAATTCTATGGTTAACCTCATCCTTCATAAACCCATCCACTGACAAGTCAACTCCCAAATATCTGAAAACATTCACTTCTTCCATACTCCCTCTCTCCAATGTGATATCCAGTTTTTCCTTATCTAAATCTAAGTTCACTTTCAACTTTCTACCTTTACACACCCTCCCAAACTTTTCTTTAGAATCTCCCATAAGCACAGTATCATCAGCAAAAAGTAACTGTGTCAACTCCCATTTTGTACTTGATTCCTCATAATTTAATCCCACTCTTCTCCCCAACACCCTAGCATTTACTTCTTTACAACCCCATCTATATATATATATTAAACAACCATGGTGACATTACACATCCTACTTTTACCAGGAAGTAATCTCCCTTTCTACACACCCTAACTTGAGCCTCACTATCCTCATAAAAACTCTTTACAGCATTTAGTAACTTACTACCTATTTCATACACTTGCAACATCTGCCACATTGCTCCCCTATCCACTCTATGATATGCCTTTTCTAAATCCATAAATGCAACAAAAACTTCCCTTCCTTTATCTAAATACTGTTCACATATACATGTATGCTTCAATGTAAACACTTGATCTACACATCCCCTACCCACTCTAAAGCCTCTTTGCATAGAGCATAAAATGGAGCCAAAAAAATACTACATAGCTTATTCCCACAGAGTTACGTAACACTGGACTAGAGTTAAAAAAAGGGCATAGCAAGTGCTACAACCCCAGGAAATTTACAGTGATATATGAATTAAATAATTAGTGTACATGAAAGACCACATGCATAGCTTTGCTCCTGTAGGTACATATAAAAAATAGGTACCAGTAATTCCACAGCAATGCATGTATCTCACTGTATTAGTTAATCAAGCTTGTACAACTACAAGAATGGCAGCAAAAGGTAAGCACTTAGTTTTCTACTTTTTCCCATGCTGCCACATTATTCGAAGTTAGGGGAAATTCTGGCAGCCCTGTACATTCATTTTTTTTTCTACAGTTAGTTTTAGGTATATATATAATAAATACTGTACGAAGTATGTTTGTTTCAGTCGTCAGAAGTGCGGGCATGAATGTTAGTTATAAACTTGTTAAATATACTGTATATTGTATACAGTACTTAGTGAATACCCTTCATTTACAGAATAATTTGTTTTGCTATACAGTAATCTTGGGGCATATCACTGTCTTGAAGCAGTAGAGTAAACTATACTAGGATATTTAACTATGTAATGAGAAGAGTAAGAGGAGCAGGAAATCAAAGGTTGACAAGGTAGTGATAAGTCACACTCTTGAAAGTAATATCTTCCAATTAATTATATATTGTATTGTCTAGAAACCACTGTTGAAGCAACAATACATGGCACAACAGAAAGTATTCCAGTTGTTCAGCCAGAAGAAGAAGAAGAAGACTCCGTGCAATCCCCTGATCTTGAGTTTTCAGATTTAAAAGAGGAAGAAGTTGCAGTATTAGCCAATTCAGAAAGAATTGGTAAAAGAATTTTTGAGGTGCTGCTGAGTGGAGGACTAAATGTCAGGTAAATTGAACTCTTTGTGCTTATTTGTGTGTGTGTTTGTGTTTACTTATTTGTGTTTATGTGTACTCTTTGATATGTAATTACTTATATGTGAATAACTAAAGTGTAATGAGCACCTGTCACTGCTTAATAATAATGCACATAAAGACAGAAACTCAGATGATTAATTGATCTGTATATTTCGACCCCCTCGTCACAGAGTTCCTCGTTATTTTTTGTGAGCTTTTCACCTTGCTTCTTCAGTTGAATTAGCTGGTCTTTTGCTGCCATCTTTCTTCTAATTGGTTCAGACTTAGTCTTTACTGCTATGTCATTCTCAAATTGTCACTCATCCTCTCTCTTCACCTTAGCATATTCGTTTCTGGTTAATCTGCTCATTTTTCTGTTCTCATCTGTCCTTCACTTTCTGCAGTTTCCATGTTCTTTTTTCTCTTCTTTTGCCTTCCTGGTTGAACCCAGGACTTTCTTTGTCTTCTATTTCCTCATCTTCTTGATATGAAGTTCTCTGCCTCCTGGCATTGTCCACCTAGGTACTCCATCTTTACCTTTATTTCCGCTAGGTACTCAAACTTTAGGACTGTATGATCACTTGTGCCCAGGGGCTCTCATATTCTGTTTCACCTATGTCAGGTGTAATTGCAGGTGCAGTTGTGGTTAATACTAGGTACAATCTTGCTGGCTCATCCTCTCTTTTTTCTTGCCATGTCCTTAATATGCTGACTCAGAATGTGTGTGCTCACACCTGCATATATCATGCACATGCATAAGTGTTTATTTGTTTGCTGTCAATACTATACACTCAAACCCCACCAAAATATGATATATGGTATAATACAGACAAGTCTTACATACCCAGTTTTTGTATATATACACTTCAGAAATTTTAATATCCAGCCAAATGTTAAAAACACACTTTACTCTTTCAGTCCGTGATAGTGACACCAGACCAGTGAATGAGTTGAAGGATAAACTTGTTCACTTATTCATTTGCCTTCGTTCTGAGTAACTCTTAAGGTGGCACAAAAAAATTAATAGTTAAAAATGTCTCTCACCACAAAACTGTTCAAGGTACATGTTGAAATACAGTGGAACCTCGGGTTATAAATTTAATCCATTCCGTGGACTTGTTTGTATCCTGATTTGTTCGTATGCTGGGTCAATTTTCTTCATTTAAATTAATTAAAATACAATTAATTTGTTCCAGCTGAATTCCTGCTCTCAGGAGGCATGACAAAATAACCCTAATATCAACTCTATGGCTTATTTATCTGTCACAATTCATCTAATATGATATAATAAACTATATAAATAACATAGAAACCTGATATACACTCTAGAATGAATAAAATATGTCATTACATGGACGGCGGAGGGAGGAGGATTGTGGTCGCAAGAGTGGTCGCGCATTCTTGCTATGAAAACGTCAGAAGCGTTATAAGACAAAAACAGAGTTTGTGAAGCTAACTGAATTAGATCTGGTGTACATATGGCATTTACATACCTTGGAGAAGAAATACAGAGCAGCATATCCTGTCAGGAGTTCACACTTTTCTTAAGAACTGCCCTTCAAGGAAGGTTCCTTGATGATGGTGAGGTGCTCTTGATTGAGGGAATTGGATCTGTGCTCCAGTTCCCCGAATTGAGCCTGAATACCTTCCCCCCCCCCCGGGTGCTGTATAATCCTATGGGTTTAGTGCTTCCCCCTTGATTATAATAATAATAATCTTAAGAACTGCTTTATACAATTTGTATGTTTATCTCACTGCACTACGTATCTCCAGTGAGCTGTTTCTCCATCAATCATGTCAACAGCAGCGTTTCCATCTTTTCATTGACAGAGGTCCACTGCTTAGAAATTACTGTAATGCCCTTTGCTGGTGCTATAGCCTTTATAGACTCCTCCTGCTTTAGTATTGTACATATGGTAGAGGGGCTACACTTGCACTCAACTCGCTAAGTCCTCAACCCTCGTACCTAGTCTGTGCTTTTTAATTTCACGCAAATCATCCTCTTTTTCTTCTTGGCACTGTCCATTGCACTTGCTTTCTTAGGACCCATGGTCAGAAGAAAGAAATCGGGCGAATTAACTGCACAAAACGTAAGGAAATCACAAGAATTCCTTGCACTGCGAGGATAGCTCCATAAGCACATATGCACTGGTGACCATTGTTTTGATTGTCACTGCTATCTGGTGGTGGTGTTGTCAAACTAAATTATATGCAGTACGTACAAAAATGTACTATTATTATTATAATTATTATTGTACTATTATATATTATTATATTTTTTTTTTTTTCATCAAACTGGCCGTATCCCACCGAGGCAGGGTGACCCAAAAGGAAAAACGAAAGTTTCTCCTTTTACATTTAATAATATATACAGGAGAAGGGGTTACTGGCCCCTTGCTCCTAGCATTTTAGTCGCCTCTTATGACACGCATGGCTTACGGAGGAAGAATTCTGTTCCACTTCCCCATGGAGGATTATTATTATTATATTATTTTATTATTATTACATACTATTACATTATTATTACATTATATGTAATTATTATTATGCATTATTATTAGTAGTACATAAGTATTATATTAATAATAATTATTATTATTATTATTATTCTTTCAACACACCGGCCGTATCCCGCTGAGGCGGGGTGGCCCAAAAGGAAAAACGAAAGTTTCTCCTTTTACATTTAGTAATATATACAGGAGAAGAGGTTACTAGCCCCTTGCTCCCGGCATTTTAGTCGCCTCTTACAACACGCATGGCTTATGGAAGAAGAATTCTGTTCCACTTCCCCATGGAGATAAGAGGAAATAAACAAGAACAAGAACTAGTAAGAAAAATGGAAGAAAGCCCAGAGGGGTGTGTATATACATATATGCTTGTACATGTATGTGTAGTGTGACCTAAGTGTAAGTAGAAGTAGCAAGACGTACCTGAAACCTTGCATGTTTATGAGACAGAAAAATGGACACCAGCAATCCTACCATCATGTAAAACAACTACAGGTTTCCGTTTTACACTCACTTGGCAGGACAGTAGTACCTCCCTGGGCGGTTGTTGTCTACCAACCTACTACCTAGTATTATTATTATTATTATTATTATTATTAATTTAGGGACCTGGAACACAGGTCAGATTCCCTAGATCAAGAGCCTCTCACCACATACATACCTCCTACTACTACTACTACTACTACTACCAGGCCCGGTGGCCTGGTGGCTAAACCTCCCGCTTCACACACGGAGGGCCCGGGTTCGATTCCCGGCGGGTGGAAACATTTCGACACGTTTCCTAACACCTGTTGTCCTGTTCACCTAGCAGCAAATAGGTACCTGGGTGTTAGTCGACTGGTGTGGGTCGCATCCTGGGGGACAAGATTAAGGACCCCAATGGAAATAAGTTAGACAGTCCTCGATGACGCACTGACTTTCTTGGGTTATCCTGGGTGGCTAACCCTCCGGGGTTAAAAATCCGAACGAAATCTTATCTTATAATACAATATAATAGTAATAATAATAACAACAGTAAGGAGAGACTTCAAAAGGCTGCCAGTAGTTGGCGCCACCATCAGCAAAACATCGGTAACTACTACTAGCACACTTTTCACCTGTCTAGACTTAAGTAGTCTTAAGTAGGGATTTCTGCCTGAAATGCCTTGGCATGATAGTGGCTTTCTTTGCTCCAATCATATTATGATATGTAAAAACACATTGTAACCTTTGCAAAGAAATATATATTTTATTTATTTAAGGAACCTCCCTTGAGGGGGGGGAAGTTCGCATCCTGAAATTTCTTTCATATCCTGAAGCAAAAAATCGATCGAACGACAATTCGCATGGTGGGGCATTCGTAACCCGAGGTTCCACTGTACTGTATAAGTATACGTACATGCAGATAATAAAAGACTGAACAATGTTTAGAGTTGGAGCTGGCTACCATTTGCACATTCCGTGAGTATGCACAAAAATGTGCAAATGATAAGCATGTACCTTTTAAATATTTTCTGATCTGTTTTAATTTTTTGCATATGTACTTACACTGCAACATTCATCATAAACAACCTTGTGGAGAAAGACACGTATACTCTAATATGGACGTCCTTAGGGAAAAATTCATTTTTCAGCTTTCAATTTTTTGAATCACATTAATGACTACTTTTTCTTCTTATGAACCAAATTTTGAAAACTAAATAAGAGTCATTTAGTTTTTATTATAATATTGTAGAAACTGTTCTTTCCATGGACTTTTGATAAGACTGGCACTGAATGGGTGATGATGGGGAATGTTCTTCCTTCTTTGGGTCACCCTACTTAACCCTTAAACTGTCCAAACGTAGATCTACGTTCATGTGCCTAGCGCTCCAAACGTAGATCTGTGTTTTTTTACATGCTTTCAGATGGAGAAAATAAAGGTCAGAGTGCTACACACGTGAACGTAGACCTACGTTTGGACAGTTTAAGGGTTAAGTAGAGAATGGCATTTATTGAAAAAAAAAAAATTCTTGAAAAACTAGGAATACACAGTAATGTATAGTATTCTTAATTTTAATTATATTTGTTATTATACAGTAGACTGTTATTTAACCCTCAAACTGTCCAGACATAGATCTACGTTCACTCGCGTGGCACTCCAAATATTTTGAAAAATAAAAAAATTGTTTTTTCTTTTAAAATGAAGAGCATATTTTTCTACATGTTATAGAATTAAAAAAAAAAATTAGGATCAGTACTTACTGGGATATAAGACCGTGAAGTTGGCTCTGGATGCTCACCTGTCAGCAACATCGACTCCTGCTGCTTGCAGAAGTGTTGCCGATATACCTTTTTCCTCGTTTTTATTTTAATTTATATATTTTTTATGTTCTGGTAATTACAATTTATAATAGTTCTTGTAATTTCATAGCCAATCTTTGTTCTGACACTAATATTATATACTGAAATAGTGCTCAAATAGTCAGAATCACATTGACAGGTGAACATTTACACCTACTTGGAT